GTTTATTTAAGGGCTTGTGGCTAGACAAGCATAATATTAGTGTAGAAATCAATGATACACGAGATAAAACATAGAGGTTTTTAAGAATTTTTGACTTTTTTTTAGTTGAAATAAAATGAAACTTCAACACTCGTAATCTCTGTGATGTTGGCCAAAATTACGTTCCCAAGCTGCAATTAGTCCATCAGTAATTCCAGCTTTTATTACAGCATGCTTTATATATATAAAAGAAAATATAAAATAGTAGGAAACAGCTGTAATTTTTTTCAAACCTCAGTGCAACCAAATTTCTGTCTTGTTGGCAAGGCACACAGTTAACCATGCTTTTTATATATATGTAAACAAATATTCCGTCTTGCCGTTGGATCCGCTGCCATTGCCGTTGATGCCGTTAGATGATAGAGAAATTCTTCTCAGTTGGCAAAACTCCAACAGGATAAACAACTTCCTCTGTTTGTCTGCTTCATTGTTTCCGGAATGATCATCTCCTCGGCGGCAGCTCACTTGGGCATCCCAATACCTATCTTTATTCATTTTTGAATCGCTCCCCACAAGTGTTTGTTCATCATTGCGGTTTTCTGAGAAGTGGGTGAGTTGCACTGGTGAAAACACAAAGATGGGATTGCAAATTGGTGGCAATAGTAGAGAGTAGTTTTGCAAAAAATCATCGTTTTTATATTAATTGTTTATGAAGTCGTCAGACTGACAGCAACTTAGGATTCTGGTTTTACCTCCTTCTGCGACCTCCTGACAACTAGATTTGAACTTGTCACATATCCTCCTTCTTTTAGTTCGTAGAGTACAGCCTTTTTGATGAGTGGAACAACTTTTGAAACTGATACAAGAATTGCATTTCTTTAAATTTCGGTGACAAATGGTACTAAAACGATTTATTGCACGTTATCTTACTAATTAAAATATCCATATCGCATTAAAGGAAGTCAAAAATAAATTGCAATTTGTGAGCATAATAAATTTTGTATCACTGCCGTGCATTTTAGCAATAAAGCAAAAACTTAGTATGGCCGATGAAAAGAGTTGGAGTATAGGCAATAAAAATCGCCAACGTTTAGTGGGGTCTAACAGTTCTATACCATTCTTGAATATCTCTCAAAAGTAACTGTAAATTTCCAGGGTTTTTTTTACAAACATTCAGCTTTTTTGGCTTTACCGGTAGGCGCAGTTATTAGTGGAATAATATGAACAATGTTTCATCATTTGGTGGAGGTGTAAAAGATGCTTACGAATGAAGTTGGATTTGTAAAAACCCGTGGAGTAAGAGAACTTTTAGATGTAGCAAATTTTTCTTGTACCACTTACTTCTTGCACCGTTTTCCGGGTCTTTTAAGAAGTAGTCGTTAAATTAGTGGCGAGGTTCGCTAGGGGTGAATCGCAATTACCTATTTCAGATTGTCGAAGACAGAACTTGACTGGAAAAAGTACCGTATTAAATCATAGTTTGCGCAGTTTTTCGCAGTAGGAAAAATGTATTAGGCTAAATTTCTTTGCCAACGCTGAATAAGTCTTAAATGTGCTATAGAATGAGAAAAATAAGTGATTTTTCTGTTGTTGATGTGACAGCACCGAATGCTAATTGCAGCATCTTGTCTTTGTTAAACAAACAAGAAATTGTGACACCACCAGCAGAAAAAAAAGCCTTATCTTATCATTAAAATGTTTTGAGCTGCCCGCACGGATCAGCATATCCATAATTTTTTAGGAACTTAAAGAATTTGCAGCGTTTATTGTCTTTTCAAGCAAATAAAACTTCATGTATTGACTAATGAAAAACTGTTTATAGAACAAATGCCTCATTGGTGCTCAACGTTGATATTGAATTAGTTTAGAAGTCTGTAAACATTTATTTTCGTATATAAACAAACATTAGTCAAGTTTCTTTAGCAACAGTAACAGATTTTCAGCGGTCTTCAAAATCGACCCAGTTTTCGGTATTACACGCTGTTTTAATTAACCTAACCTGAAATAGAGGGTTAAAAATTTATTTTTTCTGAAATTTCATTAAAGAAATAACGCTTTTCTTGCATAGCATATTAATGTAATGCTTGGCTAAAATTACCATACACAATTAAAAGTCGTGATGTGGAAATTGTTTCAAAACTTGAATTTCTTTTAAGCGTCTTATTTGCTAGAGGATATCAGATTGAAAAAGTTAAACTTTGGTTTACTCCTGGTATTTTAAGCGGACAAGAGTGAAAAAACAGGTTTTTGATATTCTAATTTATGACTTTATACAGTAACATATTATTCGCTCCTGTATACAGTCGTAAATTAGCCCAAATGAAATATTATTCGCTGTATCGGAAGAGGAAAACACTAAGAATGCGTAAACAGAATGAAAGCAAGATTCCCAATGAACAAACACTAGCACCGCTAGGTGCTGGTAAACTTTATCAAAATTGATGACTTTTGCATAATTTAACGTATGGTGAAAACATTCAAACAAAATGGCTGAAGGTAAAGAGCTGAAAAACTTTTTTATTTTTTTGGAGACTGGTGTAACTCAAATTTAAAACAACTCAGATTTATAGCAAGTAGAGGCTTGGAAAATCGGTCAATTAATTTTTGAAAAATTTTTTCCTTTTTTGGCTGTTTTGAAGCATTTCACCTTCAGACTTTTAGACGAGAGCCAATACCAAACTCTGAAACAAAAAAAAATTTTTTTTTTAAATTCATTTGATAAAGAATATTCTGATTTTTTATCTTAAACTTTTGAAGAAACCATTAGATGGAATATTGCTAAAATCGGGAAAAAGTTTCAGATAAACATCCCACTGTCATATATTTTCTAACATAATGGAGTAGATTAGGAATAAAATAAAAAATTAAGAAGTTCAAACAGTGTTAGCATAGTTCCTGCCAAAAACCTGATTTCTTCATACTTTTTTATTTCTTTTAATAATGAACAACACTCAATTGTCATTTAAGACTCAAACGTGATAAATATTTGCTGCTGGTGCAACTTTATCATTGCACCTTCGAGCAGCCGCGAATCGGTGTGTTGTCAACAAGTCTTATTTAATTAGTTATACCGGTTTCTAGCGACTTCTATGGCAACTTAGCAGTTTCCTTGCACTTTTGTGATTATGAATAATATTTGCATTGTTATCAAAGTGCGGTCAGAATTCAAGCAGCTACGAAGACTGAAAACTGTTTAAGTGTTGGTAAGTTGTGAAATAGATCAGACAACCGCCATGAAAAGCTTAGAAGAACGCTTCTGGATTAGTATGACAAAGCTACATCTTTTGCTTGTTATATAGTGTAATCCTCCGCGCGGTATAAAAATTTTCTTTCAAAACTGCAAAATATTTTTTTGGCTCAGACAAACCAAATTTAAATAGAAA